GACTGTTGAAATTAAGTGTATCGCAAAGTTATATTTAGAAATAATAAACCAGTTTTATTTAAGAAAGGACTTGTGTCGCTAAAGTTTGGTCGGCACGAATTTACGGAAAATTAATTAACAAACGGAGACGTAACAATATATTTAGTTCAGAATGTATATATTGATTTGAAACAAGTGCAGGGCGTGCTGCTCAATCATCGTTAGCTTTACCGTCAACAAGTCACAAACACCTACTGTAGAAAAATTCACAAAAACAAACCTCTCACTACCTAAACACACTATTAGAGTAGTAATATACTCCAAAAAAACACTATTGAAACAGTAATCTGTATTCAAATTTTACTTTATCTTCTATACAGCCCATTCATAAAGATATGATAAAGTGGATATCACTGTTATATGACATAACACTAAGTATTGGGACAACATGGAACCTATTGGTCCTTCTCGGCTGTTCCATCCTCTAAACTAAATTAAAATAATATTTAAAAAATCTTAAAGCCAGACCTTATCATTCATATACTTATCAAGCTTTTTCTTAAACTCGCTTAACTTTATTGCCTCTACAACATCTGAAGGTAACCCATTCCAAAGGCCAACCACCCTGTTATAAAAATGCAACTGTCTTTGCTGAAGACGACTCCTACCCTACCAAAATTTATATTTATGTCCCCTAGTCCTACTGTTCTCACTGTTAAATATGAAAAAAGATGATGCATCAACACTATCAATTCCCTTTACAATCTTAAGCACTTCAATCAAATCTTCCCTAACTCTTCTTTTTTCAAGAGAAAACAATTTGAGAGATTTTAGCTTCTTGTTGTGTGCCTTTATCCCAGGCACCATTCTAGTAACCCTTTTCTGAACCCTTTCCAACAATTCAATGTCTTTACTAAGGCAAGGAGCCCAAGACTGAACACAATATTCCAAATATGGCCTAACCAGTGACCTGTACAATGAAATCATAACCTCTTTAGACTTGTATTCAATATCTCTGTAGATACAACATAAAATCCTATTTGCCCTACCACGAGCAACAGGTCACTACTTGGATGGCTTTAGAGACTGATCGATTATTACACCAAGATCCCTTTCCTTTATAATACTATTAAGGCTATTCCCATCCTAATTATACTTATAATTCAATTTTTTATAACCCACATGCATTATCTTGCATTTATTATAAGTAAAACCTATCTGCCATTTATTTGCCAAACTCACTAAATTAACAATATCTGAAATTTGTTAGGTTTCATTAGCAGTTCTACCAACAATCTGAAATGTGCTAGGTTTTATTAGAAACCTTATTAAGAATATCTGAAATGTGTTACTTTTCTAGCATGAACAACCTAACCAACAATACCTGAATATAATATTTTGCTAGCAGTTTTATCAGTAATGCTTGAAATGTACTATGTTTTATTAGCAACATTACCACAATAAAACATGAAAAGTACTATGTTTTATTAGCAACATTACCACAATAAAACATGAAATGTACTACGTTTTATTAGCAACATTACCACAATAAAACATGAAATGTACTACGTTTTATTAGCAACATTACCACAATAAATCATAAAATGTACTACGTTTTATTAGCAACATTACCACAACAAAT